AAAAGATGTTGTAGTATAATGAATGTAACTCTATATAAAGGATGTATATCGATTATAGGGATAAACATAATGTTGCACAAACTTTATTACATTCATATGTGAGGTAACACTCATTTTTCTCAAGAGAAAGCTAGTTGTTATAATTAAAGAAAATATCTTTTATTTTTTCCTCGAATAAATATAAATTCTTTTTTTTTTTCAAAAGAATGTTGGTATGTTGCCTTGAACAATGGGTTAATCCTCTGAATATGGTACCCACTAGAATCACCCCCCAAGAATAACATTCTCTTTCAGGCCTTTTAACCAATCGGTACGACTTATGAGAGCATTTTTTGCTCAGATTTCAATAGTTTTTTGAAAACTTAATTCGATATTAAACGTTGAATATTTAGATGTATTCTCATTATTCTTAATAAGATGAGTTGATAATAGAATGTTTCTTCTAAAGCACACCCCGTTTTGAAACAATTATTTTTAATGTTATTGGACGCATAATAATTTTTATATGCTTATTATGGATATGCATTTCTTACGATCAATAAACTTTTTAGATTTTATTAACTAAAGAGATAAGACTTTATAGTTAGTTAGCTCAGTACTAATCAAGAATTTTCAAGAAACTCCAAGAATTCTTGTTATACACTTGTTCCAACTCTCAACTCTCTTTTATAGGTTTAGAGATATTGTAACTTAGGGTCAATATAGTTTAATGATTATAGAAACTTTTGGGTTTTGAAGGGATTAAAATGACGTAGCAGAAAAGAATTTGAAAACTAATCTTCTAAGTTGATTCCACATTTCTTGTTCTTTTTCGTTATTTCAAACATATACTTGACCCATCAACTATTCCTCTCTCGCACTTTTAATAGATAAATACATCCTCAAACCCTCTTGATGGGTGCACTAACTTTCACAGAGTTTAATCTCGATGGAACGAACTATTAAAATCTTTAATTTTGTCTTTTAATTGATGCTTATAATTTTTTATTCAAGCTCGATTAACCGTACACATGATGTAATTATTTTTTTTTATTAAGAATCAAACTATTTTTTTTTTAAAAAAAAAGTCAGAAAAACATACCTCCATTTATTTATTTTAATTTAAAATAATACTGACTATTTCCACCATTTAAAAAAAAAAAGAAAAACTAAAGGGAGCGAAGGGCATTTCTGCAGCTTCAAGGATGGATACAATTAAATACTCTTGCTTTCTTTTGAATTTTTATTTTTCAACAAGAGCAAAGTGATTTTTTAAAATTCAATTATTGGGCGGGTGGCGGAATTATTTAAAGGGAAAAAATTAAAAAGGCCAAAATAATATTGTCACGTAGCATGTGATCGTCACATCCAACGGCTTTGATCATGCCTGTCACAATTGGATGATGGAATTTGCATGTCACATTAGCAAATACGCTGATCCAGCGAACGGGAACTTCTATTGATGGGAAATGGTCATTGACTTGCGTCACACAGTATTAAGGGTTCCTGGCCTCGAGTTGTGTGTATATATACCTTCCTCTTCTCCTTCCTTCCCCCCCAATACCGCCATTGTTGCTCTGTTTCTCTCTCTCATTTTGCTTATTCTTTGTTAAGTTTTAACCTAATTTCATAATTAGGATATCTGATCTGCGTCTGTGATTAACTTCGTTGTTCTATATGCTCCGAGAATCGTTCGTGTTTGCTTAGTTGCAAGGGAAGTAATTAATCTGGCTCGCTTCGTTTTTCCTTCTATTCCGTAGCAACACATTTATAAAAGCCTGCAAATCATGTAATTTCGGTTTGTCTCCTTCAAATCCCCCAAAAAAACAAAAAAAAAAAAATCGTATAGTTTAGGTTTCGTTCTGGTTATCATGCGTCTGTAGAAACTGTTATTTACTTTAGTTGTTTCTGATCCTGGCAACGATTAGGACGGCGGACGTGTAGCGTTACCTTTATAAAAATCTACGAATCATGTAAGTAGTTCTAAGCTAATCTTTTTAGCTCAATTTCAAAAAAAAAAACAAAAAAAGAAGAGAAAAAGATATTCATCAATAGAACAGAGGAAGAGATCAGATTAAGCGGAGGGAAATGCCTGAATCGGAAACGGGAACGCCTACTGCGTCGGCGCCGGCGACGCCGGGGACGCCTGGAGGTCCGTTGATATCTGGACTTCGAGTGGATTCGCTGTCTTATGATCGGAAATCAATGGCGCGATGCAAGTGCTTGCCGGTTACTGCCCCGACCTGGGGTCAACCACACACGTGCTTCATTGATTTTCCTGCACCGGATGTCTCCCTGACTCGCAAGGTACCTCTCTTAATCCTCATTGATCATATTCGCTTTCTTTCTGCATTTTGATTAATCTCGTCATTTTCAATTCTGCTAGAACTGTAATCGCCAGAGATTACAATTTCTTTCTTCGTAAATAATGTAAAAAGACGGGGTTGAATTTAGAATATGTATAACATACAGGGGCGAGAAAGAGAGAAATTAATCAAAACTTAAAAATAATGATTATCTAAGTCAACTTTTTTATAAAAAAAATAGTATTCTTGAGAATTAATTTTTAAAAATACAAAAAAAGTGACGAATCCGTGCCACCTACTACTTATCAGAACCCTAAAAATCTTGTTAGAAAAATATATTATTTTCCTCCATTGGCATTTGTAATACAGTGATCACACTTTGTCTTCATTTGCTTTTTTTTTTTTGGAAAAAAAGACTCAAGATATCGCCATAGGTGAAAGTGAAGGTTCGGTTTGAGAATTCTATTAATATAATTGGTGGTATTAAAGATTTTTTAGCGAAATTATTTTTATAAATCAAATGGATTTCGTATTATACTCATTGTTAATTCCATTCAAATAATTAATTTATAACTTATGCTCAACATAAATTTAAGTAATTATTGTTTTCTTAATTTTTTAAAAAAATTATATTATCGTGTTAAAGTTAGATAATGTGCCGCTCTTGCTTAACATTAAGTATGATAAAACGAAAATAATCCTGATTTTTTTTGGGTCAAAATGGAAATAAACATAGCTGGGAGCGGAATTCGTGGGAACATTTATCCTGATATTTGCGGCAACAGCGGCACCCATTGTGAACCAAAAGTACAATGGGGCGGAGACGCTGATCGGAAACGCCGCCTGCTCCGGACTAGCAGTAATGATAATAATTCTGTCAACCGGCCACATCTCCGGAGCGCACCTGAACCCGTCGGTGACGATATGTTTTGCCGCACTCCGACACTTCCCCTGGGCGCAAGTCCCCGCCTACATAGCCGCTCAGATCTCCGCCTCCATATGCGCTTCTTTCACTCTCAAGGGAGTCTTTCATCCCTTCTTGTCCGGCGGCGTCACTGTTCCCTCCGTCAGTCTCGGTCAAGCTTTCGCACTCGAGTTCCTCATCAGTTTTATTCTCCTCTTCGTCATCACTGCTGTTGCCACCGACACTCGGGCGGTAATTTTTACATTTCTATATATATATATATATACACACACACGCGCGGACCTTTGTATATTATATTACTCATTTGTAATATATATGTTCTAATCATGATACGTGCATATTTTGTTGTCTTGTGCAGGTTGGAGAGTTGGCGGGAATAGCAGTCGGAGCTACTGTCATGCTGAATATTCTTGTGGCGGGGTAATAATCACATTATTTTTTAATTCATATTTCACTTGTTTGTTTGTTTTTTTTTTTGTTTTATTGACTTCTCAAATGGTTTGTTATTTTTCTAAAAAAAAAAATGGTTTTTTTTTTTTTTTCTGTTAAGAAGATAACTTTTTTAAAAAGAAATTAAGTATTGAATAATTTATGCAAATAATTGTCATCAATTAATAACATACTAGGTGTAGGCCGTTTATTTCTATAATAATGCCATAAGGATGTATGTTTTGTTTTTATCTAATTATTAATTAGTCTAAAATTATATCTAATCCCCACCCAACAACATCACGTTTTTGCCTTGTACTTAATGCCATGGAATATTGTAATTTTACAGAAATAATATCTATACAAATTCAAATAAAATAACTGTATATATATATATATATATATGTTTTCAGTAGAGGTCAAAATGCTAAATAGAGTAGTGTTTTTGACTTGACAGACCATCAAGTGGCGGTTCAATGAACCCAGTTCGTACTTTGGGCCCAGCAGTTGCGGCAGGAAACTACAAGGCCATTTGGGTTTACCTGCTGGCGCCTATTCTGGGAGGCCTGGTCGGTGCAGGTACCTACACTGCCGTCAAGCTCCGTGACGACGAGGCTGAGCCGCCACGCCAGGTTCGGAGCTTCCGTCGCTAGTACTCTCCTCTCTCCTGTTACCGTGCCATAATAATAAGAAACTACAAATAAATAAGGCTTTGTTTGACTACTGTTAATTTGATGTGATTGGTGATTTGGATGCTTGTAATATTGTGTGATGAATTGAATAAATTGAAGGGCGACGTGACTAGAGGGTGTAAATGAGTCATTGGACGTGCCACACTATCAATCATGCATGTCAGTGTCACTGTTCGCTGTTGACACTTCCTGCCTAAAACTATAATGTGTGTTTGACTTTTGTGGGTTGTTGAATTGATAAAACTATTTCGTGTAATGTGTTCTCTACTATCACATTTTTATTAGCGATCTAAAGTAATTAATCCAGTTTTATTTATAAAATTTAATTCTTATTATATTATTTATGAGAATCTGATATCATATAACATTTTTATTACCGTTCAAAATAATTTCTTCTGCCATGTGAGTGAGAACACACACACACACACACACATATATATATGTGCCAATGAAGTAAAAAGCTTGTTTGTATAGGTAGATACTATGCTACTTTTTGTCTCAAGTCAGCTCCATTATCATGCTTCAAATGCAATCAACATCGTACAGTTAACTCCATTGTTGGATGAAGGGTTGAATGAATTCTTGTTAATTGGTCCAAGAATTGATGAATGCACAAAGACTATGGTTTGATTAAATTATAAAGATCAAATATTTTGTTAGTGGGTGACCATTGAACTTTGTTAAAAAGAAAATAAATTTACAAAATTTCGAGAAAAAAAAAAGGAAATTATACAATTAGTAAATTTATTTTTATATAAGTTAATTCAAACTTATTTAATTTCGATGTAATTCATAAATTTATACAATTAATATATACCTCAATAAATTTTACTTATAATTTCAATTCTACATTCTTATATCTGCAATGCTACCTAACAAATCATGAATAAAAAGATCACCTAACTTAAATTGAATATGGGCTTGAATAATAACTTTGATATTATTTCAATTCAAAATTATATTATATTTCTATTTTTTTTAATAAATATTTTTCATAATTGGAATAATTACTAAACTTATAAATACTTACTTTTAAAAAACATTAAGTGACTCATTTGATTAAACATACATCAAGTGTTCCTTACACCAGACAAACCACATAAATATATAATCATATATGTTACACTCAATTTAACATGTATATACATGTGTGTATATTGAATTGTCGCAATTTAAATGTATGTGCTATACGAGAAGGAGGATCCTTAAATGTCAAGTTTTTTATTGAATTGTAAATTTAAAGTAGTACATCTTTGTCTCATGA